CAGGCGAAATGTCAGGAGAAATGCCTCTAGAACATGGCCCTATAGCCCGAAAAAACCTACAAGAACCTAATTTTAATTATTACATTTGGCCCAGCCATAGGTTTTTTAAATGCTTGTGTTTTACTGTTATTATTATTGTTTATTTTTGCTTATGTGATTTATATTAATTGTTTTGTATTGATTTTTTTTGTTATTGCTTTTGTTTATTGATGTACTGTGGGCTTGGCCTCATGTAAGCCGCACCGAGTCCCTTGGGGAGATGGTAGCGGGGTAGAAATAAAGTTTTATTATTATATGATTATTATTTGTCTACAGGAAAAGAAAGATAACAAATCGTTATCTAGTGGGAAAGTCAAAAAGATTGCTTTCCTTTCAGTTTTGGGTCCTGGGAAAAGTTTATAATGATTCATGGGAGTGAGTGGCCTCAGTCGAGGCAACATTGTTATTTTATCACAGTCTTGCTTTCAAGTGCTCTGAGTTTCATGTACCAAGTTTTTGCCAAGCTTAAGTTTTGCTTATGGGATTTTCCTGCTGTTTTGTTTCATGGTTTTAAGTACCTTGCTTCGTGTACTAATAGATCTTGTTTCCGTTTGAAGCTTATGGACTTTTTTGGATGTTGGGCTTTTACTGTTTTGCTATTTTTGGCTCTGGTGTACGACACCTGGTGTCTTACCTTTTGTTGCCCAGGCCTTTCCGCCCCCGCCCACCCCAGCAGCCCACCACTGAAGGAGGCGATGGAGAGACCAAAGCGGCCCAGGCCCCGGCAGACGGCATCCGCCCGGAGCCCCAGCGCCAGCGCAACCGCCCTTACTTCCAGCGCAGGCGCCAGCAAACGGCCGCCGGCCGCCAGACTGCAAATGAGGTGAGGAGGGTGAAGGGCACCAGGCAGAGGTTTGGGCACCTTGGCATCTGCATGGCTTGGCATTGAGCGTAACCACTTGCTCACAGTCTTGACTGTGGTTTTTCACATCCATCACCTGGAAAGCTTTGAAACCGTCACACATTTTGGGAGGATTCAGCCATTCAGATGGAGAGGAAGCATTATGATATGCTAACCCAGGTATCAGCAAACTTTGGCCCTCCGGGTGTTTTGGACTTCAACTTCCACAATTCCTAACAGCCGGTAGGCTGTTAGGAATTGTGGTAGTTGGAGTCCAAAACACCCGAAGGGCCAAAATTTGCCTATGCCTGACATTGTAGATGCACCCTAAGAATCACAGAGATCTATATCTGTACATCTGGGTTCTGTAGCAGTCGTGGGCTGTTAGGAATTGTGGGAGTCGAAGTCCAAAACACCCGGAGGGCCAAAATTTGCCTATGCCTGACATTGTAGATGCACCCTAAGAATCACAGAGATCAATATCTGTACATCTGAGTTCTGCAACAGCCGGTAGGCTGTTAGGAATTGTGGGAGTTGGAGTCCAAAACACCCGGAGGGCCAAAGTTTGCCTATGCCTGACATTGTAGATGCACCCTAAGAATCACAGAGATCTATATCGGTACACCTGGGTTCTGTAGCAGCCGGTGGGCTGTTAGGAATTGTGGGAGTTGAAGTCCAAAACACCTTGAGGGCCCAAGTTTGCTGAGACATCGTCTGGAACCCTTTCCTGGGTTAAAGTGGGATATAGGTTTGGCTATAGTTGGCATATGTCCTGTCCCAAACAGCAAGATGTTTAGGTTCTTGTGGGTTTTTTCGGGCTATATGGCCATGTTCTAGAGATGTTTACTTTTGGATTACTTTTCCTCCCAAGATGTTTACTTTTGGATTACTTTTACTCATAAAGAAGTAGCCTAGGTTTAAATCCTAGTCTCCAAAAAGGCCAGGAATTGTCAGGGATGTGGGTTTTAACTTTGAGAATCCGAATGGCCAATGAGGCACAGAGCTCTGATCATGGGACTTCAGATTTTGGAATCCCTGCTTGGTCATAGGAACCTACCAGGTGATCTTGACCGAGTCACACTCTCTCGGCCTCAGAGGAAAGCAAAGACAAACCTAGAGGCCTCTCCATCCCAAATGTGTGATGGGGAAAGTGTGTGCCCCTGCAGAGTCCCAAGGATTGGACCACGGCCTTTCTGTCCCCATGTTGAGTACCAGTCTCCTTTCCGGGGCCCCGACCGGGCGCCTTCTCTCCCCCCCCAGGCTGCCACGGCCACCAAAGACCCACCTGCTCCCAGCTCCGCAGCCGCAGGTGGAGACACTCCTGCCTCGGCTCAAGACGCGGTGATGGAGGCCAGCAAGCCCGCCTCCCCGGCCCAGGAGAACGCCTCCCAGCCGCTGCCGGAAATCCAGCAACAGCTTGTGGACGTAAGTGGAGGACGGCAAGCTTTGGCCCTCCAGGTGTTTTGGACTCCAACTCCCACAATTCCTAACAGCCACAGGAAGGTGGGAGTTGAAGTCCAAAACACCTGGAGGGCCAAAGCTTGCCGAGACATCGTCTGGGACCCTGTTGTATCTCCGGTTGCCACAAGAGGTCTGCCTTGAGTTGAGTTGAAGGTTGAGCCCCCTTGGACTAACCGTAGGAGTAGAGCGAATTGTTGGAAACTTGGGTTGAAACAGCACATTTGTGCATGGTTTTCCTCCTGAACCTAGGGGAGAGGAGGCTGACCACCACATTGGTCCAAGGTTATCAGAATTATAAGAACTATGAATCTCTCTGAGGAGCAGCTTAGGGAGCTGGGGATGCTTAGCCTGGAGAAGCAGAGGTTGAGAAGGGACATCATTGCCAGGCTGAAATACAGTAGAGTCTTGCTTATCCAACCTGTCAGAACATTGGATTAGCAAAAATATTGGATAATAAGGAGGTATTAAGGAAAAGCCTACTAAACGTCAAATTATGTTATGGTTTTACAAATTGGCACCAAAACACCATGTTTTACAGCATAAAAAGCAGTTCAATAAACAGAGTAAGCAGTTCAGTACACCCTAACATTATGTAGTAATTACTGTATTTACGAATTTAGCACCAAAACATTGTGATGTATTGTAACAGCTGTGGATCCGGGCGGGAGGCAGACTGAGTTGGATAATATAGAACGTTGGATGAGCAAAGGTTGGATAAGCGAGACTCTACTGTACCTTGAAGAGGGGACAAAGTTTCTTTCCTGCTGGAGACCAGGACACAATAAAGCAATGGATTCCAGTTGCAGGGAAAGAGATTCCACCTAAACGTTAGAAATAACTTCCCGATAGTAAGAGGTTTGGTAGTGGGATATGCTGCCGACCGAGAGTCCAGTAGAGTTTTTGAAACAGAGGCTGGATGGCCATCTATTGGGAGGGCTCTGATTGTGTCTTCCTGCCTGGCAGAAGGGTTGGGTTGGGTGGCCCTCGGGGGTCTCTTCTGGCTTGTGACCTGTTCCCTCCCCACAGATCTCAACACCTGAGCCTGGGGGAGAGCTGGCCCCCACCGCCGTCCTGGCATGATGCGCCTTCACCCGGTCAGGGGATGCCGAGAGCCGTGATCTGGTAAGGATTCCTTCTTAGGAATGGGAGTCCAGCTCACCTGTCCAAACGCATCTTCCTTTATTTCTTGATTTACCATGCTTCTATACCACCATTCTCAGACCGAGGGGACTCATTTATGAGCCAGTTAGAGAGCTAAGATCAGCCAGGGAGGTCCTGCTCTCGGTCCCACCGCCTTCACAGGTGCAATTGTTGGGGACGAGAGACAGGGCCTTCTTGGTGGTGACCCCTCGACTGTGGAACTCCCTCTGCAGTGAGATTAGATTGGCCCCCTTCCACCTGATGATCAGGAAACAGCCGAAAACCTGGCTATGCGAGCAGCCATTCGATGAATGATGGTAATACTTAAGCAACTAAAGGAATTCACATGTTTTATTGCTCTGTTTGATGGTTTGTATAGTTTTTAACCATTTTATATGTTATTGTTTTAGTTGTGATGTATTGCTTCATATGATTGTGAGGCACTGAATCTTTGCCATTTATTATGTTGGAAACCGGGTTGCTGTAGGTTTTTTTGGCTGTATGCTACTATGTCCTGGAAGCATTCTTTCCTGACATTTTGCCTCCATCTATGGCGGGCGTCCTCGGAGGGTGTGAGGTCTGTTGGAAACTAGGAAAATGGGGTTTATATCTCTGTAAAAGGTCCAGGGTGGGAGAAAGAAGTCTTGTCTGTTTGAGGTAGGTGTGAATATTGTAATTGGCCACCTTGATTAGCATTTGATAATAATAATACTTTATTTATACCCCGCCACCATCTCCCCAAGGGAGTCGGAGTGGCTTACATGAGGCCAAGCCCAACAACACATCAATAAAACAAGAAAGCAATAAACAAAGGCAATACAATACAATACAGTTAATATAAATCACATATAAACAATGAACATTAAGCAATAATACACAAGGATTAAAAACCTATGGCCTGACAAGAGTTCTTCCTCCCACCCTGGACTGTCCACAGAGATATAAACCCAATTTTCCTGGTTTCCAACAGACCTCACAACCTCTAAGGATGCCTGCCATAGATGCAGGTGAAACGTCAGGAGAGGATGCTTCTGGAACCCAGTCATTCCAGCCATGAAAGCCCTTCGGCAATAAGTTGGAAACCGCTTTGAGTCCCCTGAGGCCAGTGGTTCTCAATCTGGGGTCCCCAGATGTTTTGACCTACAACTCCCAGAAATCCTAACAGCTGGGATTTCTGGGAGTTGTAGGTCAAAACACCTGGGGACCTGCAGATTGAGAACAACCACCATCGGGGTTGAGAAAAGCGGTATGGAAATACAATAAATAAATAAATATAAATATTATCCAAAGGGCTGTACATGGAGGCTTTTGGGGGTCAGATCTCAACTTGAAGGGTTTATGACAGGAGGAAGATATGGACAGTGCATTCCTGCAAACCAGGGTCTCTCCAAACTTGGGCCCTCCAGGTGTTTTGGACTTCAACTCCCACAATTTCTAACAGCCGGTAGGCTGTTAGGAATTGTGGGAGTTGAAGTCCAAAACACCTGGAGGGCCCAAGTTTGTCCACACCTGGTTTAGACTGAGAAAAGGGGTTGAGTAGCTAATTGGATCTGGGCATCGGAAGCGGGGAAAGTAGATTTCTCTCCAAGCGATTCCTTAACAAATGCGGCTTGTTTAGGGAGGGACGGTGGCTTGTGTTTCCAAGGCTGCTTTTCAGCCCTGGCTCAACCTGATCCGCAGGCGGAATGCGATACCCCCGTGGAGACGGGCGGCAGGCCCCAAGGATCTCTTCCAACCACTGGGGTAAAGTGGGGCACTGTTGTAACAACAATACCATGTGGCCCAGATAATTTGGGAACCGAAACATTTGGGGAGGTAGGCTAGAAGGCTTGCCTGGACTAAACTTGGAGGCAAAATCTGGAGTAGAAATGCCTTGAATGCCTTATAATACGATGTCTTTGGAAGCCTGATACCTTCCAAATTGCCTATGAGTTTTACTGTGTATTGTATGTTGTTGTTGTTGGCGGCCTCAGCCTTTGTAAGCCGCATCGAGTCCTTTGGGAGATTTTGCGGGGTATAAATAAAGTTAATAATAATTAATAATAAATAACTCCCAGACCATCAATCGGTTTTCAGGGTATTTCTGCAGATGGGAAACCACAAAACAGTGTTCCCTCGCTACTTTGCAGTTCGCTTTTAGCAGACTCGCTGTTTCGGGGATTTCAAAAAATATTATTTTAAAATATATATTGCAGCATTTTAGCTGTTTCACGGCTTTTTGTTGCCACCGCTCTCCAAGGCACTTTCCCTCCTCAGTCCTTGAAGGGCCTTCCCTTCCCTTTATTGTAAGTTTATAAAGACTTAAAATAGTGTATAAATGCTAAAATAATGGGTTGTTGTAGGTTTTTCGGGCTATATGGCCATGTTCTAGAGGCATTCTCTCCTGACGTTTCGCCTGCATCTATGCCAAGCATCCTCAGAGGTAGTGAGGTCTGTTGGAACTAGGAAAAAGGGTTTATATATCTGTGGAATGACCAGGGTGGGACAAAGACTCTTGTCTGCTGGAGCTAGGTGTGAATGTTTCAACTGACCACCTTCATTAGCATTTGATGGCTTGCCAGTGCCTAGAGCAATCTTTTGTTGAGAGGTGATTAGATGTCCCTGTTGTTTCCTCTCTGTTGTTTTGCTGTTGTAATTTTAGAGGTTTTTTAATACTGGTAGCCAGATTTTGTTCATTTTCATGGTTTCCTCCTTTCTGTTGAAATTGTCCACATGCTTGTGTATTTCAGTGGCTTCTCTGTGTAGTCTGACATGGTGGTTGTGAGAGTGGTCCAGCATTTCTGTGTTCTCAAATAATATGCTGTGTCCACCTGATGAACCAACCTGGACACAGCATTTCCATGGCCATATAGCCCGAAAAAACCTACAACAACCCAGTGATTCTGGCCACGAAAGCCTTTGACAATACACTAAAATAATGCATAAATATTAAAATATAGTGTCCTTACATCACGGTTTTTCACTTATTGAGGGAAGTCCTGCAATGTAACCCCTTCAATAACTGTAGTTACGTTCCAAAATTATATGTGTGCCTTTGTTACTGTGATTTACTGATGCAACTCTCTCCTAGGTGCATCTACATTGCAGAATTATTGCAGTTTGATACCACTTTAAATGCCATGGCTCAATGCGAACCCTGGGAGTTGTAGTTGGGTGAGGCGCCAGCCCTTTGTGGCAGTGGAGGGTAAAAGGCCTTGTGAAACTACAGCTTCCATAGTTGCATAGCACTGGGTCAAGGAGGTTAAAGTGGTGCCAACCAGCATTAGTTCCCCAGTGTAGACGCGCCCCGTGCCACCATCTGACCGCGCCCTTCTCTTCCTGCCCGCAGGTGTCCACCATGTGCCTGCCAACCCAAGTTACCTCATCCTGGACTTGAAGAGACCCCAAACTTCACCAGTATCCCCCCTTTTGCTGCTGTTGATGCCCCAAATGTGTAAAAGTTTAGAGAGGAAAAGAAGAAAAACCTGTCGGGGGGGAACTTGACCGAAAAGGGAACCAAAGTCACTTTGCTTTAAAACCTTTCTCGAGGGGCTTGCCTCCCCCCTCCCATAATATCCTTTGGCCGGTTTGAGAGGTAAGAGACCGGCTGGTTGAATCTTCAGTTAATTTTTTTTCTTCCCCCCCAATTGTTGAAGAACACCCCTTGTGAGCCATTTGTGTGCGGTTTGGGCGTCAGTAAAAAAAAAAATTTGCACAGATTTGCATCTCGTTGTGTGTTTTGTCAAAGGGCGGGTCCGGGTTTGAGGGGCGGAGGCCGGGGCTCTTCTCTCTGTAGCTTTTGGAGACAGGAATCATACCACGTACGGACACCATATGGGTTCAAACCGGAGGAAAAGGAATCCCATGTAAACATTAGCAAGAACTTAGAACTGTTTGCCTCTGGGATTTGCTATTGATAGTGAAATCCTATGGAGGTTTCTTCAAGCAGAGGATGAACGGCCATCTGCCAGGAGGGCTTTGGTGTTGTGTCTTGCTTTGCATTCCCCCTCAACTCCAGGATTTGGATTATGGTGAAGTCATAGCATCCTAGAGTTGGAAGAGACCCCCGAAGGCCATCCAGTCCAACCCCATTCTGCCAAGAAGCAGGAAAATCACATTCAAAGCACCCTCGACAGATAGCCATTCAGCCTCTGTTTAAAAGCCCACAAAGAATGAGCCTCTACCACGCTCCAGGGCAGAGAGTTCCACTGCTGAACACCTCTCACAGTCAGGAAGTTCTTCCTCATGTTCAGGTGGAATCTTCTTTCTTGTAATTTGATGTCATAGAATCGTAGTGTTGGAAGAGACCCCCAAAGGCCATCCGGTCCAACCCCATTCTGCCAAGAAGCAGGAAAATCGCATTCAAAACACCCCTGACAGATGGCCATTCAGCCTCTGTTTAAAAGCCTCCAAAGAAGGAGCCTCCACCGGGGCAGAGAGTTCCACTGCTGAACAGCTCTCACAGTCAGGAAGTTCTTTCTAATGTTTAGGAGGAATCTCCTTTCTTGTAGTTTGAAGTCATTATTTCACTGCATCCTAGTCTCCAGGGCAGAAGAAAACAAGCTTGCTTCCTCCTCTCTAGGACTTTCCCTAACATATTTACTATCATGTCTCCACCTTCTCTTCTTCAGGCTAAACATGCCCAGCTCTTTAAGCCGTTCCTCATAGGACTTGTTCTCCAGACCCTTTATCATTTTGGTCATCCTCCTCTGGGCACACTCCAGCTTGTCAACATCTCCCTTCAATTGTGGTGCCCAGAATTGGACACAATATTCCAGGTGTGGTCTGACCAAGGCGGAATAGAGCATGGGGAGCATTACTTTCCTAGATCTAGACACTAGGCTCCTATTGATGCAGGCCAAAATCCCATTGGCTTTTTTTGCCGCCACATCACATTCCTTGCTCATGTTTAACTTGTTGTCCATGAGGACTCCCAAGATCTTTTTCACATGTCTTGCTCTCAAGCCACGCATCCCCCATTCTGTCTCTTTACATTTCCTTTTTTCTGCCTAAATGGAGTACAAGTCTCTTTCTATGAGGACTTCAAGAAAGAAAAGCTGGATGGCTGTCAGGAGGGCTCCCATTGCTGCCTGAAGGTTCTTGAATTAAGGTTGAATGGCTGTCTATTGGGAGGACTTTGGGTACCTTCCTGTCTGGCTTAAGGTGGTTGGAGGTTGGACTGGGTGATCTTTGGGGTTCCCTTCCATTGTATTCTATGATCTTCACGTGACGACAGACAGACTGCCATCGTTCGTAACCACAAATCAGTTCTATTTTGAGCTACCTCTGCTGAAGAAGTCTTGTTTCAAACCCGCCTAGGAGAGGGTCTCCAATGAGTCGCAGCCAACTTGGAAGATTCCCAATAAGCCTTACTTAACCAATGTTACAAATACAACTATACCAGACCTGGGCAAACTTGGGCTCTCCAGGTGGACTTCAACTCCCACAATTCCTAGCACTTAGTAGATTTTGAAGTTTGGAGTAAAGCCCAGAGTATCTATTGGGAGGGCTTTGGGTATCTTCCTGCCTGGCTTAAGGAGGTTGGACTAGATGCTATTTGGGGGTCCCCTCCAATGGAGTCTCCTTCTCTGGAGGTTCTTGAATGGTTGTCTATTGGGAGGACTTTGGGTACCTTCTTGCCTGGCTTAAGGAGGTTGGACTAGATGCCCTTTGGGGGTCCCCTCCAATTGAGTCTTCTTCTCTGGAGGTTCTTGAATTGAGGCAGAATGGATGTCTATTGGGAGGGCTTTGGGTATCTTTCTGCCTGGCTTAAGGAGGTTGGACTAGATGCCCTTTGGAGGTTCCTTCAATGGAGTCTCCTTCTCTGGAAGTTCTTGAATTGAGGGGGAAAAGGAAAGGGCCTGAGGCTGTGAGGAATGATGGGAGTTGAAGTCCAAAACACCTGGAGGGAGGGCCCAAGTTGGCGCAGTCCTGTTGTATAGACTTAATAAGAAGCTGTCCATATATAGTTTCAGCCCCGACACTGGATAGAATGCAGGCAAAGCGAAGAAGGGCTGTATAAGTAGCTTTATATACAAATATTTTGTTTCCAGATATACAAAACAAATCAACATGCACACACACACACACAGAATCTTAAGACAGGGTCTCCCCCTGTAGAGAAGTCTCACTCCTGCTTTATAACAGTGCTGGGGAAAAAAATATCTCGAGGTGTAGCTGGACTGCAACTCCCATCACTCCTCACCTCTAAGGATGCTGGGAGTTGCAGTCCCAATGTGTTGAAAGGCACACCATGGCCAACCCTTGAGTAATGTTTGGAAAATTGTCATCTTGAGAAAGGCTGAAGGAAGACTCCAACACTCTTTGGTATGGGACTACAGTTCCCATCATTCCATACCATTGAGCCATGGCAGTTCAAGTGGGGTCACACTGCGTCGATTCAACATTAGAGATGGATTGTAGTAGGTTTTTCAGGTAGTCTGGCCATGTTTCAAAGGCATCCTCTCCTGACGTTTCGCCTGCATCTATGGCAGGCATCTTAAGAGGTTGTGACCTCACAACAGACCTCACAACCTCTGAGGATGTCTGCCATAGATGCAGGAGAGAATGCTTCTAGAACATGGCCATACAGTCCGAAAAACCTACAACAACCCAGTGATTCCAGCCATGGAAGCCTTCGAACATACATTGAACATTATTGATGTCCCTCAAGAAATCCTGGGATTTACTCACCATTACGTTTCTCAGCAAACAAATCCCAAAACATTCCCATCACCATTACTACAAAGCCCATGTGCCACACAATGACATCGAAGGCGTTAATCTTCAGCAAAGGAAGTATTAAAATAAAAATAAAAACCATTTTTTTCCAATCCCCAAATAGGCAGCAATAAATCTGTATCATAGATTCAACAGGACTCACTACAACTCCCAGAAGCCCCTAAGGCAAGCATGGGCAAACTTTGGCTCTCCCTCCAGGTGTTTTGGACTTCAACTTCCACAATTCCTAACAGCCAAAACACCTGGAAGGCCAAAGTTTGCACAGGCCTGCCAGAATCCATCAATTGATGCTGGGAATTGTAATCCAAAAGGAAATTAATGGCAAATACGAGGGTTGAATAAAAAGTAATGCCTTCCTGCTAAAATGGAACTATAGAGGAGAGTCTACTGAACAAGCCAGTACCTGCCACATACGTTGCTTAAGTCGCATTGACCGACCGTCTGCGCAGGGTTCCATACTTCACACTTTAACAACACAACCATTCAATGCGAAGGCTTCCCGCTAAAATGGAACTGTAGAGGAGAGTCTACTGAACAAGCCAGTACCTGCCGCATACGTTGCTTGAGTTGCATTGACCGACAGTCTGCGCAGGGTTCCATACTTCGCACTTTAACAACTCAACCGTCCAATGCTAAGGCTTCTTGCCAAAATGGAACTGTAGAGGAGAGTCTACTGAACAAGCCAGTACCTGCCGCATACGTTGCTTAAGTTGCATTGACCGACCATCTGCGCAGGGTTCCATACTTCATACTTTAACAACACAACCGTTCAATGCAAAGACTTCCCACTGAAATGGAAATGTAGAGGAGAGTCTACTGAACAAGCCAGTACCTGCCGCATACATTGCTTAAGTCGCATTGACCATCTGCGTAGGGTTCCATACTTCGCACTTTAACAACACAACTGTTCAATACTAAGGCTTCTCGCCAAAATGGAACTGTAGAGGAGAGTCTACTGAACAAGCCAGTACCTGCTACATACGTTGTTTAAGTCGCATTGACCGACCGTCTGCGCAGGGTTCCATACTTTGCACTTTAACAACACAACCGTCCAATGCTAAGGCTTCCTGCCAAAATGGAACTGTAGAGGAGAGTCTACTGAACAAGCCAGTACCTGCCGCATACCAGTACAGCCATCTGTTGAGGAGTTACGAAGGTGGAGGTATTACTTTTCATTCAACCCTCATAGAATCAATGAGTTGGAAGAGACCTCGAAGGCCATCCAGTCCAACCCCACTCTGCCAAGAAGCAGGAAAATCACATTCAAAGCACCCCCGACAGATGGCCACCCAGCCTCTGCTTAAAAGCCTCCAAAGAAGGAACCTCCATCACACTCCACAGCAGAGAGTTCCACTGCTGAACAGTTCTCCCTCACAATTAGGAAGTTCTTCCTCATGTTGTTATTGTTATTTATACCCCACTTTTCTCTCCAACAAGGAGACATTAAAAGCCTTTCAGTACAATTGGAATCTATAATTATGCAAACACTAGCTGTCCCCTGCCATGCGTTGCTGTGGCCCAGTCTGTGTATATTTGTTTTGTGTATTTATATATGTGTATATGTCTACTGAACAAGCCAGTACCTGCCACATACCAGTATTGCCATCTGTTGAGTTACGAAGGTGGAGGCATTACTTTTCATTCAACCCTCCCTCGTACTTTATGCTCCAGTCCTGGATGCTAGGAACTGGCATCCAAAAGGGAATTCGATGCAGTTCC